TTTTTGTTTTGTTTTGTTTTACTCTGCTGTTTTTGCTGTTTTTTTTTTTTTTTTTTTTACTCCCATATAGTTGGTTGTTAAACATTTACCAGCACAGGGCTGAATTCATGTGAGTTTTCTTTGTTCATTTAATATTGTAGTTTCTGGCTATAAAGTCATGGAAATGAGTCCTTGAATTAGGAGTGGTACAGAGCAGTTAAGCACTCACTGGTCCTTCTACTTTCAAGCATATAACTTTTCTGGCTTTAAAACAACATTTTCAATATCTTGGATGCTTTTTCCATTTAAGTGTTCACTAGGACAATCATGACTATATCCTTGCATATCACTGATTGTTGACACTGTATAAGATGCACTACGAAGAGCATCTGAGTGGGAAAAACTGTTTCCAAATTGAATTTTGTATTGATTCCAGTTTCTTCTCAGAAGTGCTTGAACCTATTCATCAAAAAGAAGCAGAAAGAACAAGAATAACCCATTAATCGAAATGAAGGTATTGTATTTAATAGCCCAAAGACACAGGATATAACTGTGATATATTGTATTTAGTAACACATAAATTAACTATGAAAACATTGTTGTTAATAAGTTAATAATATTCTTTTTAGTTTCAAACACCATAATGAATAAACCATATTAATTATAGATTATGAATTACTCCATATTTTCAAATTACATTTAAATTTTTATTTTTTTCATACCTTATCTTAAAACCTTACTAATGTATGATGGTGGTGGTGTGTCAGTGAGTCTGTTTTGACTCACAGCAACCCTGTACAGGGTTTCTGAGGCTGTATATCTTTATGGGAGCAGAAAGCCTCATCTTTCTCCCATGGAATAGCTAGTAGTCTCGAACTGCTAACCTTGAGGTTAGCAGCCCAACTGATAAGCACTACGCTATCAGAGCTTTCAATAATGTATATGTATACATTATTGTTAAAAATATAAGGTTGAATGTTCAAAATCTAATTTTACATCAATATATTCATTAAAAGAATGAGAAAATAAAATAAGAAAGAGAGAAAAGCAAAAGAAGTTATGAATTCAAGGAATGTATATCAATTCTGAAGAAAATAAAAGGGGTTTTGTTCTCATAGAACGTACTACTCAGAGGGAAGAAAGTCATTGAAAAAATAATTACAAGTGAATGAGTATTGTGAAAAAGAATTTTAGTAAAATTTAGTTAATGTTCTACTTTATTGTATCTGGATCCCCTACTGCCCAAAGATAATTTGAAATGTAATGATTAGTTCTAATTTCTAACCATTCCCCACTCCCCACCCCCACCCCACCCCCAGTCATTATCTGGAGTCCTGGTGTGGCACTGCAGGTTAATGCGCTGGACTGCAAGGTCAGTTTGAATGGCAAGGTTGGTGGTTCAAATTCACCAGGTGCTCCTGTGAAACCCTAAACTGGGTTGTAATGGGTCAGAATGTACTCAATGGCACACAACAAGAAGTCACTATTTAGGATCAGAATTGTTATTGTTGGTTGCCATCAAGTTGATTCCAACTCATGATGATTATATGTGTTACAGAGTTGAACTTCTCCATAGTGTTGTTATGGTTGCAATATGTGCTTTTAATTTTATTTATTTTATTGTTTTTGTTGAGCATATACATAGCAACACATATACATACATACAAAAAAAAATTCTATGTGTACAAATCAGTGGCATTGATTATATTCCTTAAGTTGTGCAACCATCCTCACCTTCCTTTTCTAAGTTGTTCCTTTCCATTACCATAAGTTCACCACCCCTCAAAGATTCTGATCCAATTTTTCAAGGTGGTACTGTCAATTTGAGGCCCTATTGTTGTTGTTAAGTGCCGTTGAGTCGATTCTGACCCATAACAACCCTGTATAGGGTTTCCAAGGAGCAGCTGATGCGCTTGAACCACCGACCTTGCAGATCAAACGACTTTGCAGTCTGATGCATTAGCCCATAGCACCACACCAGGACTCCTTGAGCTCGTATAGATAGTGCTTAAAAGAACATAAAGCTCATGGCCGCCATATTTTGCTAGTTAAGGGGAATTATTATTTGCTTTAGGATGACGTCTGAGAGTATTTTTTATTTAAAGATTAAAGATAATTTCAGGCCAATTGTTTCTTTGACTGTAGCCTTAATGATGACAGCAGATTTCTAGGCCTCTCCGTCATACTACTGCTGAGTGTGTTCAAAATGCAGTGGAGCTAGCAATTGAGTGCAAACTAAGGTAGGTCATGTATACTGATTTTGGTTTTAATTGAACAAAGGATTGAAGGCAATTTATAATATTCAGTATATCAAAAGCAAATGAAAAATTTGAAGTATATCTCCAATTTGGTCATTTGGATATTTCTACATTTGACAAGTTAGCTGACTACTTTGGGAACTTCTGCTTCCATATTATGAATGTATGAGTCACATCCCTGCAACCTGATCTACGGTTAAAGTAGGTGCTATTTGACTCATTCTTCCCAAGCTCTCTGTTGCTCTTTGTGGCACCATCAGATAAACACTAGACCTCAAGGTTCCTATGAACTGTAAAGTTGGAGGTTGAATTCACCAGCTGCTCAAAACCCTATACAGGGTTGTTATGAGTCTGAACTGCACATAACATATGACAGTACATAACAACAACAACAATAACAACTGCGGCTGCTTGTTAACCCTATGATTGCTTCCCCCAAGGAAATCTGAGCATCTATGAGCCCATTTAAATCCTCCAGGTCTGGAACTGAGCCCACTGTAGTGACTCAATTTTCACCCAACCAGTAGATAGGTATATGAGGGGACAACAACATTAATAGATAGTCACACCATGGAATGGTCAACCACTCAAGATTGAAAGGGCAGCATTTACCTAAGGACAAAATACTGACGAATTGAGAAAGAAGGTAGAATGGAAACAAGAATCACAGGAAGGAAGTGAGATAACTGATGTTACATCGAGGGGATTATAATCATTGAAATAAATGATTTGCTAAATATAAAACTGATGATATGTTCTTCACCTTCATTCAATTCACAATAAAACATTTTAAAAAGAGTGAAACTCTCTAGAATTCCTGTTCAGGAGTACTTTTTCACATTCATAAAATAATTACCTAGTTTCTACTAGCATATAGATTTTCTAAACTTTCTATTCAGCATATACATGTATTTAAAGCAATAATAAATCTGAACATAAGACTGACTGACATAAATTTTTATATTTAATTGCCTAAGAAGTGAAGAAAACTCAATTTTCTGATAGCATATGACCTATAAGCAAATAGGTATTTCCAGGATGTCTGCAGTTTTGTGGGATATTTCAAAATCCTGTCAAAGTCTGCTATACTCTGTTGTTTAAAATAAACACAAAATTTCACTTTCTCATTTCAAATTATAGCAGGTAAGAGAAAAAGAAGAGTCAAATACAAAGTCTGTGAACTTCCATAATTAGAACTCAGAGTGATTTGTTTGAATTTTATTTATCTTTTTCCCATTCAATTCAAAATGTATATTATTAAAATGGAATAAATGGTTTCAAAAGTTATATTATTATAATATTAAGTAATTTAAGAACTTTCAAGATTATTGCTGTAAATATGAAAGAAATCATCTATATTCATGTAAGTTTGTATCAAAAATGAAAGTATTTATAGGACACTATAATGTACATTTTGCCCTTTTCTTAGTTTAGTATTGTATTCCTAAATCCTCCAGATACAAATTTTAAATCAAGATAATTTGAAATAATACCTAAATGAGTATTATCTTCAAAAGCATAAGCAAATGGCAAATGAATGGGTTTTGGAGTATGAATTTTCATCAAGTAGAGATTAAAAACAAAAATTGTTTTGGAACAGTTATCTAGATATTTTCACTGGGGATTGTTTTTGACTCTTTATTAAGCTTAATTATGCCTAAGTTTGTTACTAAATTCTGGACTTACTGAATATATAAACTACATAGTAATTGACTGAAAATACATTGTACAAAAGAATCTATGTAAATGTTAGCAAGACTGTTGACAGAAGGTGTTCCTTAGTTGTGAATGTAGTGCTTACAGTCTTAAAAAGGAAAGCTTAAATTAAATTCTAAGAGCCAAATCAGCTTTTGAAATATCTGTTTGTTCTGGAAGTCTCTACTTTGATTAAGGTCATCACCCTATTTCTTCCTTGCAACTCAATCATCAGAAAAATAGTGGAGAGCCAATTTCCTGCACTAAGTACTTATTTACTAAAGTTTAAAATAAACCTAATTAAAGACCCAGAGCATTTGTAGACTTCTGTTTATAGAATTCTCTGTAAGAATGTGATTTTTTTATCTGCTTCTTCTAGCACAATATAACACCTGTTGACCAGAAAGTGTCCACACTTAATAAACTTTAAAGAAGAAAATTTTAATGGGGTTGGGTAATAAAGATAATTGCCATTGGAAGGGAAGATAGGCTGGTATCATAAAGATGTTCTTAGGTGCCACCTACAAGGTTTCCAAGGAGAGGCCAGTGGGTTTAAACCATATTTCGTTGGCACTGTGGGCTAATGCATCAGACTGCAAAGTTGTTCGAACTGCAAGGTTGGTGGTTCAAGCTCACCAGCTACTCCTTGGAAACCCTGTACAGGGTCGCTATGGGTCAGAATCGACTTGAAGGCATTTAACAACAACAACAACAATATATGGAAACCTGGTGTGGCACTGCGGATAATGCACTGGACTGCAATGTCAGTTAGAACTGAATGTCGGTGGTTCAAGATCACCAGCTGCTCCTTGGAAACCCAATACAAGGTCGCTACGAGTCAGAACTGATTCAATGGCACTTAACAGCAATAACATATAATAACAGGACAACTGTGTAAAATATAACATTACAGCTTTATATGTAAACTAGAATCTGATGAAGAACTAAACTCCTTAACCTAAAAAAAAGAAATTAGTAGACATTGAAATAAAAGTCTGTCTCATTCATAATACAAAATATGGGTTCAGTTGTTCTCAACAAACTATTGTGCTGACTTTATAAATAAATCTACTGTCAGATATTTCTAACTTTCAGGTGTTGTTAATGCCAGGCATGTTTAGTCTATGTTCATAGTGTACAATTTCATCTTAGTGGCCGAGAGACGTGACTAAACTATTCTGATTGTTAATCAAGTCACACTTATATGACTAGTGAGAAATGATTAACAGGAAGTTTTGGTAAAATATAAAATAACATAAAAAGTGTTAGTAAAAAAAGAGAGAGAAATTAACTTAAACACAGATATGTGATCTAATGTAGAAATCAAGAAAGAAACTAAGTCTCAGTAAATGATTTTAACAAGTACATGACATAGTTGGAACTGCACATAATATATTTGGCAGCTGTGTCTTCATGGTAAGAGTGGGAAAAACTCTGGAAGGCAAAAAGACAAAAAGGGAGGGATTATAGTATTTCTTAAAATGAGAAGTGAATCATACACAAACAAGAATTATATCTCTGGAGATGAGGAGAAAGGGACAAATATTAGAGATGTTGTGAAGAACTGAAGGATTTGGCAACAATCTGGCTTGAGAATTTTGTATTATTATAATTTTTCAATGCCAAATTTTCTCAACATGGCAGATGTTCAAGATTCTATGTCTCTTTTGCTTACACAGAGAGAGTGTAAAATGAGGGTTAGGCATTGGTTTAGTTATTCCCTAGGCAGTTTATAGATGAAAAAGCCAATTCAAGGTTTTGATTCCAATTCGATTAATGTCCCCATTTGTTCATGGAATTTTTGAAAATGAGTGATTTGACATGTCTAATAAAGACTATAATCTACTGAGTGCCTACTGAGGATGGGGGAAGTCTCTGAGTGGTATAAATGATGAAGTGCCTCCTCACTAACTGAAGGGTTGGCAGTGAGAGGCACCTCTGACAAAAGGCTGGTGATCTGCATCTGAAAGTTAGCTGTCATGAAAACACTATGGAGTGCAGTTCTATTGTGCAACACAAGTTGCCATTATGAATCAGAATTGACTTGAAGACAACTGGCAAAAAATGACAATTAAAGTTGGAGAACAATGCTAAAAAAAAATTACATTCCTTAATTTACATTAATCCTGGTGAAATTTGTATGGAATATGGGAATATGCTTTCATTTTATTAATAAATGTGAATACTGCCAACTCACCAGGAAGTTCAGAACACTATCCAAGATTATCATAGCCTGGAAAAAAGTGGTATCTTTGGCTTTTAAATGTTTCTCTGTGTCAGTATCTTTTTTTATACTACCTCCTCTCACAAAATATGTTGCTAGTGAATGTTTTATACATTTAAAACTTATTGGTTATGAAAACACAGATACAGAGGTATACCTTTTATATTCAATACATGTTGATTGGCATTTTGTCTATACCACTCAGATCTATATTTAACTGTAAATTCCTATATGAAAATGGCCTGGTCCTGTGCCATCCTCATAATAATTGCTCTTTTTGCAGTCCCTACGTCAATCTGTCCAATATGTACAAGGACCTCTGGTAGTGTAGTGCTTACGAAGAGGGCTGTGAACCTTAAGGTCAGCAGTTCGAAACTACCAGCTGCTCCACAGGAGAAAAATGAGGCTTTCTGCTCACGTAAATATTTACAGCCTTGGAAACCTGGTACAGGGTCGATATGTGTCAGAACCGACTCGACGGCACTTAACAACAACATGTCAATCTATCTCACTGAGGGCCTTCCTCTTTTTCACTAACTCTCTACCAAATATGATGTTCTTCTCCAGGGACTTGTCCCTTGGATAACATATGCAAATTACATGAAATGAAGTCTTGCCATCCTCAATTCAAAGGAGGATTCTGACTATACTTCTTCCAAAATAAGTTTGCTCATTTTTCTTACAGCTCATGGTATAGTTAATATTCTCTACCAATACCATAATTCAAATCTATCAATTCTTCTTTAGTCTTCCTTATTCATGGTTCAGATTTCACAGGCATGTGAGGTGACTGAAAATACCATAACTTAGATCTAGGGTACTTAGTGATCAAAGCGGTATCTTTGTTTTTGAACCTTTTAAAGAAGTCATTTATAAGAGACTTGCCCAATACAAATATGTCATTTGATTTTTGCATTTACTACTCATTAACTACAAAAAAAGTCTTTCTTGTTATCAGAATACTAGAAGCACCTTCTAAATGTATGAAATGCAGCCTGCTAGGCTTGACAGTTCTTTACTTATACTTAAAAGGCTACATTAAAAATTCAACAGTGAATTTTATTATATGCTAATCAAGAGAACTAAAATATTATTTAAGTAGGGAAAATATTCTATACCTGCACAGTTCTAAGCTAATTTGCCTTATAAGAATGAGTCTCCTAAAGTTATGCAAACTAGTTCTATGTGTTTCTCATCTGAAGCTTAGTAATGAGCTTCACAGTTATCAAGTGCTCATGTCTCAGTTGCTTTTGGAATTTCTGAATTCTGTCAAAATACATATTTGTCAAGTAGTTTAAAATATTTAAAGAGCTGTAATCAATACAGCTAACAGCATGAACCATAAACAGAACAAACATCAAGCTTGAAACCCTCGCATCCCCATGAAAACAAAACAAAACAAAACAAACAAACAACCTAACATTTTAATGGCAATCAGTTCTGACTCATGGTAACCCATGTGTTACAGAGTAGGGCTTTCTTGACTGTAATTTTTTTGAGAAGCACATCATCAAGTTTTTCTTTTGTGGTGTCACTAGATGGATTTGAATTGACAACTTTTCAGTTAGTAGACAAGTGTAAACTGTTCCTGCAGGGGCCCACTCATGAACTATAGCACTATTCATATGTACAGGGACTATGGTATCAGTTTCCAAAATGCTTGACATTTCCCAAAATGCTTGACATTTATTAATTAGCAAAGTATTCAATGAAAATCTGAAATCTCCATGAGTATATTATCCTGTTATAAATTAAAGCATTTTATTCTCTTATGTTTCAGCATCTACTGCACACCCATCATGCATAACTGAGGGATTAATTTTTAAATACTTTCTTCTCCACTGGAAACCTGTTTCCAAAGACTATCTCCTTTTTGGTAAATGTAGGTGAGAAAAGAGAAAATAAGCTAATTCTATTTCCTATTGGAGTGTATGTTCTATGAAGTGAAGTGTTGCCATAAAATGTACTAGTTAAAGTTCATACATAATTGTATTAGTCAAAAAGGTATACAGAAAGACGACATCAGTAAAAGTCACTGATGGAATATTTTATATTGAGACTTTATTTAGCCTAAACTTGATTTCCAATCCAGCCTAAGGTTTTGAAAAGGGAAATTGCACCTATGAAAAAAGAAGTTTCAGGAACTTTTTTATCCTTTATGGAAATAAAATTTAAGATAGTTTTAATTGGGGGGATTTAATTCTGTATCACAATTTCTGTGAAACATAATAGATTGCAAGTACAAAACAATAAAAAGAATGAAATCAATTGCCATACCTCTCCATTAAAGAAGCAGAAAATTGTAGAAACCAAAAGACCCTGTAAGATAAAAACAAAATTATCTGATTCCAAATGAAAACAAAATAAAATCTTTGTAAACAAATTGCTGAACACATAGCAAAAGATAAAACCAATGATATATTTAAATTAACACCCAAATTTCCCTAGCTAAAGCTCTGATAGCCAGGCAGCCATACCTGATAGTGCATAAGGATGTGCATGATGTAGTCGTATACTTCTTCAGCAGTTCTTCCCTCAGGCCGCCATGGCAGCAGCACAAATTCAATGCCAAGAAGTGGCACCAGGATGAGTGTAGCTCTCACGGCTTTCATGTAGAGATGAGATTCTGCTTGGTGAGTAACTTTTAACTTGGTGATGAGAACACGTACAATATTTAATAGGAAAAAGAGATTAACCTAAAAGAAAAGAAAATTCATTTCACATTAAAAAGCATTATTTAAGAATCTAAAACTTCACAATCTTTGAAATATTTTCCATGTTTCAGGAGTGTGCGCTGTTATGTTTGTCTCTGATAATAATTTGTATTTCTGAAGTTTTTATTTATTTCCTCATCAATACATCCAATTTAATGGACTCATACTTTAGAGAAGGAACTACGTGATGGAGTACATTGAGTTAAGATTATTTTTTGAAATTACAACATCTTAGCTGATAGTTTTTTCAGCTCATTTTTTCATGCAATTTTTGGATTTTGTTAGAGACTCAAAACTCAACCTTTTGATCATCTTTAACTCAAATAATATAATAATTTATAACAAATGTTAAAATATTTAAGCATCTCTTTTATATCCATGTCTACTTTAGGTACTTTTTTAAAAAACATATTTTACTATCATAAACAATTTCATAAACTTTTAGTTTCTTTTTTGTAATAAAAATTCTCATAATAGTTCTCCAATACAGTATTGTGATTCTCGATTCTCTGAGGAGACTGAGTTAACAATTTAACAATTAAACCATTTATTGTTTAACAAAGATTATCTAGCAGCTAAAGTCTTTTTGGTGCTCATTAGGCCTTCTGTTAATTACTTTTTGTAGTTTCATATTTACTGTTCTCAAACTTTTCCCAAGAAATAATATCCTTTCTGAAAAAGAGACATATACTTCAAAAATATAGTGTGGATATCTAAGAGATTTAGAAATGCATTCTGCTGAAACATCTCTCTCTCTCACCCACTCTCATTTTCATGCACTATTACTTTCTCTTACCTCATTCAAATCAGTATCTTCTATTTGAAAAATTTCTCTATGCCTATTCCTATGCCTTCTATAGATTATTGTTGTTGTGTGCCATCAAACAGAATCCGAACCATTGAGGTACCGCAAGATAATGGGAAGGACCACAAGGGCTGTGTGAATCCTTTCCATAGGATTATAAACACTAAATACAGGAGAGTTGCTAAGAGCTGGACTGCAAGGTCAGTTTGAACCACAAGGTTGGTGGTTCAAGCTTACCAGCTACTCCTCAGAAACGCTATACAAGGTCTCTATGAGTCAGAACAAATTCGCAGGCACTTTAACAATAGAAACAACAATTATAATCTTATCCTCAATTTGAAGAAACTATCCTTTGTTTAACAATATAAAAATATCAAGCTACATGCAACTTTGTAATTTATAATGGAGCATTATATGTAGAAAACATTAACTAAAAGCAGGCTTTTGCTAATTTGAGATGCACATTACAAAAAGAATTGGGATATAGCATTGCCATTCTTAAAGAATTCAATAGAACATATGCCTCAAAAATATATATGACATCCTGATCGAAACACAGCTATGAAAAATTACAAGTTTACAAACCTAGGAATGTCTTTGTGAAAAGCAAAAGCTAGATAAGCCCTGTCAACAGGTGTAAGAATGAAGCCTGACAAATCAACACGTCAGCTGTTCTGCCTCCTTCTCAATCTATTCCTGTCCAAAGTATTCATTGTTGTTTTCAAGTTTCGACTAAGTGAGAAATACTACCAACTCACAGAAAGAGAGATAGAAATACTCTTTTATCTGCTTATCCTTGGGCATTTGTACTTTAGACTATTTTGTACTTTACAAATTTAATATAGACAATTATAAATCATGAACTAAAGATGAAAACAGGCATGTTCCTCTTTTGATTCTCAGTTTTTGAAGATTTCTAAATGAAGATTGCTTCTTTAAAGAAAATCTGATTTAACATGTGAAATGAGAAACTAGAATTGAAAATGGGATTAATAATTATATCAACTATTCTAAAATAGTAATCCTAGTGTGAACTGGGAACTATTCTTTCTAACATTCTCCATATAAAATAGTTTTGAGAATCGTGATGCTAAAATCTTACTTTATTTTCTCTAAATGCTCTAAATTATTCCAAATAAAAATAGAACAAAAATTTCAAATTTCAGGTAAACTAGATCTGAATTTCACTCATTTTAAAGCAAAACTATTTGAATATTCATAATTAAGGAGAAGAGAACAAATATAAAATTACATAATGTTAAAACATTTTTCTAAAGCTATGGAATTGACTACATCAGCTGTAAATCATCTGCCTAAAATTTAGCGCAGACTGCAAAAACATTGAAATACTTTATATACTATGAATTATATCCCCCAAAAATCATTAAAATGAAACATCTTCTTTCACTAGTAATTATCATGCAACTTGACTGCATTTTTATCAATTTTAGACCAAAGAGGTTGGTAGAATGCTTCAATTTCATCATCACTGACTGCAATGGTTGGTACATAAATTTGCACCAACCAGTCTTCCTTGTACAAATATTATCCTATCACATACCACACTGTACTTCATTATAGAATGTTCATTGTGGTGATGCCTGTGATGATGCCATTTCTCTTCAGTTTGATGTTCCCAGCATAGTAAACATGTGATTATCAGACTCAGAATGACCAATACCAGTCCATTTCAGTTCACTAATGGCTAAGATATCAATTTGTGTCATTCCATTTCATTTTTGACAACTTCCAATTTTCCTAGATTCATACTTCAGACATTCCATGTTCTGAATATTAATGGATGTTTATAGCTACTTCTCTTTTTGAGGTGTACCCCATCAGCAAATGAATATTCCAAATGCTTTACTGAATTCATGTCATTATGGTCAACTCTACTTTGAGGAAGCACTTGCCAACTAGTATTTTCAGTGCCTCCCAACCTGAGGGTCTCATCTTTTGGCATTATACCTGACAATGTTCCATTGTTACTAATAATATTTTCATCTTGTGAAACTATATATGGCAATGTCCCACTGTTATTCATAAGGTTTTCAGTGGCTAACCATTTACAAGTAGTCTGCCTCTCCTTTTTCCTAGTCTGTCTTTGTCTGGAAGCTCTACTGAAACCTGTCCACCATGGGTGCTGGTATTTACAGTACTAGTGATATAACTTCTAGCATCACATCAACATGCACGCCACGACAGTTGGACAAACTAACAGATGAGTGGTGATATATATGTCCACTTCATAAATAATATGAAGACACCATACCTTTTTATAAATTTTCCTACTGTGTATCAGCATCACCAATTAGTTAAATTACTGAACAGAGCATTCTTCTGTGTAAGGCACTGTCTTGGCACTAGGGGTGTTGCAATGAACAAAACAGGTATGGAGTCACCATCCACCATCAGTTGGCGATGAGTTAGATAGGGAAAAATGAAACAAAGTAAGAAAGTGGGGAATACAAAGAATGGGAAAAATGAGAGCTTGACCAGGAAAGGTCTCTCTGATTAAGTGTGCATCAACCAAAGAAGGGTGATAAAAGGGTATTCAGGCCAAATGAGATGACAAGGGTAGGAGTGTTTTAATATTCACGAGGGAATTAGCATTGTGCCTAGGAAAAGCACATCCTCAGAAAACACTGAGCCTCCTCCTCCACTGTCTCCTGCTATTACTCCTCTGGCTCATCTTCTTTTTAAACACTCTGTACATTACGATTTTACCTGCAGAGAGCTCTGAGCTGTGATTAAAATTAGGTTTGTATTCCCTAAAGCCCTTGCATTGAACAGAATATTTCTATATAGCTGTCACTGCAAGTGAAACAATATGTATACAAATACCAGGGTGGATTTAAGAAGCTTAAATAGTTTTGGGAAGAGGGTTCTGTTTTAAAAATACATATACATATATATATATGATTTGTTGTTGTTGTTGTTTGTCATCAAGTTGATTCTGACCCATAGCGACCCAGTATTGGGTTTCCAAGGAGCAGCTGGTGAGCTTGAACCACCAACGTTGCCGTTCAAACGACTTTGCTGTATGATTCATTAGCCCACAGAGCCACACAATTTAGGCTGCTTCAATCTTTTTGCTATTGTTATTGAATAATGCTGCAATGAACAACCTAAATGCCCGTTAATAGAAGAATGGTTAAACAAGCTTTGGTACATACACACAACTTTGAAAAATAACAATGAACTTGTGAAATACATCATAGCATGGATGAACCTGGAGGATATTAACTTGGGTGAGGGGGAAGACAGTCAAAAAAAATTAAAAAGGGAAAAAAAATACATATATATAGGTGAGTCAAAAATTATCTGCACTCTGGCTGTATAATTTATTTTAACCAACTTTTAGAAAAGACAAAAACAATTTTTTGATATCTTTTTCTTGTTTTTCAAAACACTGTCTCCATCTGCCAGCAAACTTTCATACTCCCTTATTAACAAATGTTTTAGACTGAGCAGTGAGCCATGAATGAATTGCTGTCTTCACTTCTTCATCAGAGGCAAATCTTTGTCCAGAAAGGAGTGCTTTCAGGGGACCAAGCAGATGAAAGGCTGATGAAGCAAAATCAGGACTACAGGGAGGATGCTTTAACATTTCAAAACGACGTTTTTTTTGGAGTGTCAACAGTGTGGGCAGAGGTGTGTGGATGTGCATTGTCATGCAAGATCACATTGCACTTGGATAGTAGTCCTTTGCATTTCATCTGAAGTTTAGACTTCAGCTGTTCGGTGAGTATCTCAGTGTAATGAGCACTGTTGATTGTTGACTATTTTTCCCGATAGTATTCCAATACTGGTCCTTGAGAATCCTAGAAAAGTGTAAGCATCAATTTTCCAACTGATGTCTGATTTTGAACTTTTTCTTGGCTGGCAAATGAGGTAGTTTCCATGCCATACTCTGTTGTTTACTCTCAGTCTCATAGTGATGAATCCATGCCTTGTGACTAGTAACAAGTTTTTTAAATAAATGTTTAAAACAAAAAAGCTGTTGTTGTTAAGTGCTATCGAGTCGGTTCTGATTCATGCTGACCATATATAGGATTTCTGAGGCATGACTGGTGAGTTTGAACTGCTGATCTGGTGGTTCAAACTAACATCGGGGACCAGCGCTTATCCTATAGTACCATATCAGTTGTTGTTGTTAAGTGCCATCGAGTCGGTTCTGATTCATAGCGACCCTGAACAGGGTTTCTGAGGCTGTGAATCTTTACAGGAGCAGAAAGCCTCATCTTTCTCCCACGGAACAGCTGGTAGTATTGAACTGGTGACCTTGCAGTTCGCAGCCCAATTCGTAACCACTACGCTGCCAGACCTCCTTACCATATCAGTAGTTGCCCCGAAATACACAGCCTACAGTAGTTTAGCCAAGGTTCACAGCTGGCTCACTGATGACAAAGACTCCAAAGCGGAGTAATCTCAGCACAGTTTAAATCCGGTGTGTCACACAGGTTCCTAGTATGGGAGCAATCCCTGGAAGGAAGTAGTTCTGACTGAAAATTTCACTATACACTAAGGTATATTAAACATTTCCATAGGCATAATCAGTACCATGTGCTGACCTTTGGGGGCTCTCTAGTGTGGCAGGCACAAACCAGACATTTTGACACTTGATGAGCACTTACTACATGCCAAGGTAGCACTTAGCATGCTTTAAAAGTCCCTATACAAACAATTTGGAGCCTTGGTGTGGCATCCTGGCGTGGCACAGTAGGATAAGCACTCGATCCCCGAGGTTGATTTGAACTGTAAGGTTGGTGGTTCGAACTTACCAGTTGCTACTTAGAAACCCTATACAGGGTCACTATGTGCCAGAACTGACTTGACAGCACTTAACAACAACAAAACACAAACAATTTACATATTGTTTTTATGATATTAAGGTAACACATCAAGAGCTGAAGGCTGCATTTGGACCTAAGATGCCTGTCTTGATACTTTATCCTCTTAACAAGTGTACTATATTTAAGAATGATTTGAATTTCATTCTGACATAACAACATACTGAATTGCAACTAGCAAACATAGTATATAAAAAAGGAGAGAATCTGAAAATAAATGAGTCTGTTAGCTTTGAATTTTAGTTGAGAAGCATAGTACCTTTATCTTCTGATACATAATTAATATGAGCTATAATTAAAGTTGAACTTCTGATGTGGTGCTGTGCGATAAGCACAGAAATGTAAGGTCAGTTTCAACCACAAGGTCGGTGGTTTAAACTCACCTGTGGCTCCTCAGAAACACTATTCTGGATTGCTATGAGTCTTAACCACAACAACATAATTAGTTATGTACCATGGAATCAGTTCCGACTCATAGAGACCCTGCATAAGGTTTCCAAGGCTATATACATCTTTATGTGAGCAGAAAGCTTCATCTTTCTCCCGAGGAACAGCTGGTAGTATCGAACTATTAACCTTGAAATTAGCAGCCTGACTTGTAACCACTATGCTACCAGAGCTCCTTAAAGTACACTCTAAGAGACGATAATTATGGCCTGATCTCTAATGTCTATGAGAATTGTAATTACATACCAGTAAGGCAGCACAAATTGGGCCATGGACAATGTAAAGAAGATGGGTGTCAGAACTGATCCAGCAGCTATGGAGAAACACAGGGAAATTATGTTGAAGATTATCATTTTACGTAGTTTCAACAGAAATCATAACGAGAAATTATCTTACTTGTCATTGTAATATATACTTCTAGCAACAGCATGAATACAAGCAGGAACTAGTGGAAATCCTATTAATACCAACGAAAAAGAAAATACACAGGTAAATTTCTCAATAGATGAAACTGTAAATATTCCAAGAAACATGAAAAACAAAGATAATTGCAAAAAAAAAAAAAAAGAAAAAAGAAAAAATAATTGGCCAATGTATATGAGGGGGCTTAAAAAAGTAGATGTAAAAATGGAACTAAAAGGTAATGAAATTTCCATGCACCTTTGAAGCTCCTTTGTATTTATTATGTAAATATTATCTGTATAAGTCAAACAAAAAATATGATAAATTGCTAGGTGTTTATATTTTTGTGTTTGTGTGTATACTTTCTTCTAATCTAAGTCATTTTGCATAGGTGGTCTGACTTCACAGCTGAAAGTTGTTGCTTAAGCCTTGAGGTTCAGAGGAAATTCATTCTCCTACTCTCCTCTGTATGTTGGGATTGGTCAATATTTGGCAGTCGATCAGAAATGAGAAATTTGACATTAGAATTTCCATTGTGAGAGACAAGATTAATAGCAATGTCATTATCTAAAGAAGAGGAAAAGCAGAAAGAGCTGTCACATGTACCAGATTAGAGTCTTTAAATTTGAGCACTCTAAATTATACCTCTCAAACACAAAATGAGAAGGAAATCTTTTTAAAGGCAAACAATGTTCGCTACCAAGTGTGTGTACGTGTGTGTGTCTGTGTGTGCACACCTATGTAAATCTATGTCTACATCGACATTGGCATCTCTGTTTATATGTAGATCTCAAGATAGAGCTAGATGCCACTTTAGTTATATTTCTGGATACTAATCATCTTGGATTCATTTTCTGCATTTTATATTTTGTATTATTCTTTGTTTTATAATGCTAGAAATGAATCTCTATTTGCTTTATGAACAATACCATATCAAGCAGATTGTATGGAAAAAAAATATTTTGTAGACCTTAATTCATTTATCAACCCTTATACTCTTAACATAAAAAGTACAATTATTTAAAAAAAAACAAATGCTTTATAAAACTATCTTTGTTGTTTGAATTTATATTTTGTTTCTGACTAAGCCCAATACCTTTATCTTCCATGTGAGGAGAAAAGGTAAATCAGAACAGCACAAAGACTAAATTACTTATTTGTGTTTCTAATTACGTTGTTTTAGTTACTACAAATTCAGTCAAGATTCAGTAATTCATTGGACTAGTACATAGCAAAAAAGCATTGCATTATTAATTGATCTACAACTTCTGAAATGGTAATTGTGTGAAAATTAGTCTGCTTTAATTATCTCAGCTTATAGTAAGAAGAGAATGTTATTGCCTGGTTTTCTTCTAAAAAAATCACAGTAATAATTTGCATTACAAAGGACTCTTGTTTCTTCAAAAGCATTCTCAATTAGGTGAAGTAGCAGATGTGTGATGAGTCACTTACCCCAGCCAAGAAAATAATACCACATCAGGTGCTGCTTCTCTGCAAACACAGCCACCACAATGAGTGTGTGGAGGTGAATGCCTTCACAAAGCATCCAAAAGTAATTACAGCCTATCAGGTAAAGATGAATGAACTGGGACACTTTGCAACTCACCTGAAGGAGAAAAAAAAAAAATCAATTTATATTTGATTACTTATAAATCATATATAAAGCAATAGTTCTACTTATTTCAATTTTATAGGGACACAGAAATTACTCTCTTTTACACAAATTGGTGGTTGTTATTGGTAAGTGCCGTGGAGTCAATACGATCTCGTAGAGACCTTATGCACAACAGAATGAAACACTGCTCGGTCCTGCACCAACTTCATCATCATTGCTACCTTGAGCCCACTGCTGTTGTCACCGTGTTAATCCATCTCATTGGGGGTGGAGGAGGGAGGGTCTTCCTCTTTTTTGCTGACACTCCACATTACCAAGCATGATGTCCTTCTCCGGAGACTAGTCCATTTTGATAATATGTCCAAAATATGAGATGAAGTCTCACCATCCTTGCTTTAGGCTGTACTTCTAACAACACAATACGAGTCTAATGAGCCTATAACTGATGCTATTCAAATATGAGGCTTAATGTTGTTTAAGGAGTCCTGGTGTGGTGCTGTGGATTAATGTGCCAGATTGCAAAGCCATTTGAACTGCAAGGTCAGTGGTTCAAGCTCACCATCTGCTCCTTGGAAACCCTATACAAGGATGCTATGGGTCCAAAATGACTGGATGGCACTTCACAAAAACAACAACAACCAGACTAAGACAAGTGTATTACTGAAAGAATGTGTCTGCAGCCACCCACTGATGGCCAATATATGTTTGCTGTTGCTGTTAAGTACCATGGAGTCGATTCCAACTCATAGTGACGCTGCACAGGGTTTCCGAGGCTGTAAATCTTTATGGGAGCAGAAAGCCTCATCTTTCTCCCACAGAACCGCTGGTAGTTTTGAACTGCTGACCTTGGGGTTGGAAGCCCGATTAGTAACCACTATGCTACCAGAGAATAAACCCATGCATTTATGAACTGGAACCTTACTAGCAATACTTTCTGACTTAACCTTGTATTTTAAAAAATATTTGTTGGCATTTGTAACTATTTGGAATAGTTATGTTTTTTTTTTTTTAATTCCTGTTTTCACTAAGCAATATATAAACTGTGATTTTTAAAAAAGAGCTTAATGAATGCTTTAGAAAAAAATAGATTTAGGACACTGGAGGTGCAAACAGGCAATACAGTTTTCACCAAAGAAATATTTCAAAATGTCTGTGCTACTGTTTGAAATTCATGGGTTAAACAAAATACCATGGAATACAACTACACAAATTCAATTTATTTCTTTATAGTTCTATGACAAAACTTTTTATCTCGTTGCCCTCCAAACATCACAACATTGGCCAATATTTTATATTGCTAATTATCCTCATGGAAGCAGCAGTCAAGTAATCAAACAACGTATACTGCATTAGGCAAATCTGCTACACAAGACCTTTTTCAAGTGTTGAAGAGCAAAAATGTCAGCTTGAGGACTAAAGTGCACCTGACCCAAGCCATGGTATTTTCAATAAACTCACATGCATGTGAAAGCTGGACAGTGAATAAGGAAGAGCATAGAAGAATTGATGCTTTTGAGGTATGGTGTTGGAGGAGAATATTGAAAGTGCCATGGGCTGCTAAAAGAACCAACAGGTATGTGTTAGAAGAAGTGCAGCCAGTGCATCCTAACCCTGGGAGGCCAGGATGGCCAAACTTCATCTTCCGTATTTCAGACATATTGTCAGGAGGGAGCAGTCTCTGGTGAAGGATATCATGTTTGGTAAGGTGGAGGGTCAGAGAAAAAGAGGAAGACCCCCAACAAGATAGATTGGCAAAGTGGCAGCATCAATGGGCTCAAGCATGGCAACAACTGTGTGTTGGACTGGGCAGTGTTTCCTTCTGTTGTACATAGGTTCTCTGTAAGTCGGTACTGACTTGATGGTACATAACAAGAACAAATCATGTTATCCTGGTGACTCAAGTGGAATAAATGCAAGAAAAACAATATAGAAGCATATGTGCAAACAACAGAGGTAATTTTGGAAAAAAACATAAAATCATACATAAAATGTATATGACGGTGTTTCAGTGAGTGATAATTCCTTCCTTTCTCTAATTCAGTGAGTGATACATTTAAAAGTAGCACTTTATATATACACTTTTATGTATACATGTACATATGCTTTTATATATACCTATGTAGTGTAGGGGTTACAAGTCGGGATGCTAATCTCACGAACAGCGGTTCGAAACTACCAGCCATTCTGAAGGGACAAAGATGAGGCCTTCCATTCCTGTAAATATTTACAGCCTAGGAAACTATACGGGGTCGCTATGAGTTGGAACATAGTCAGTCCATGACACAAAACCACCACTGCCATATATAAAATGGAGTCCCGGTGTGGTGCTGTGGGTTAATGCACTGGACTGCAAAGTTGTTTGAACCACAAGGTTGACTGTTCAATCTCACTAGTCACTTTTTGGAAACCCTATATAGGGTCGCTATGAGTCAGAATTGACTCGATGGCACTTAATAACAATAATATATAAACAGATGTGACACTGTAGGATAAATGCTGGACCACAAGATTGGTTTGAACCATAAGGCTGGTGGGTCAAACTCACCAGCCACTCCTTGGAAATCCTATACAGGGTCACTATGACTTAGAACCAACTCCACATCACATATGTATAAACAAATATGTATGTGCACATACTACACATTTTATGAGAGTAGATTATTTTTTAAATTAGCATGTGTGCTTAACCTATACATGCAGATATTTTGATTTTGATATAGTTTATGGATGTATGTAGCATAGAGAAATTTATATTAGCAAAATTTATGTGTTTTTTTTTTTTAAAACTGGTTTTTAAATTATGAAAAGCTCTGTGCTTATTTGGGGGAATTTTTTGATGCACATCTTAAAAATTGTGCTTTCTAAGAGATTGGAAGGAAGCAATTTTTAATTGTCTCTTTAGACAATGAGGACAGGGTAGATCCCTTTGAAACTTTTTGTGAATAAAATTAAATAATATGTAATAAGAGGTATAATTCATTTATCTTTTCCTGGTCTTACTGACTTTGTTAATTCATCTTGATACCAAAAACACTTTGTTCATCTAAAAATATTATAGTACTATACTCGGCTGCTTTGACCAATTTTTTAAAAAATAATTGTTTAAATGTTATGTAGTCATAAACCCTCATGTTTCACCAGCAGCCGCATTCTGTAGTCATAAAATTAAGTGGAGATACATCTAGAATACATAAATAATTTAAACATAGACATTTATTTCTCTTTTTCATATTCAATCATTATATCTTTGAGAATGTTGGGAGATATTCATCTTGCTTTATTGAAAATAGCTACATATGTTCTCTACATGTCAGAACTTACATATAAATGTAATAGACTTATTTATACACACAATACAAATACCGGGGCCTTGTCTCTACCCATTTGAATTTGTTTTACTTACAGGATTTCTAGCCACTAAGGCCTGGTTGTTGGCTACGGCCATGAAATGGATGATTGTAACAATAGAGTTACAAACAAAAGAGAAGAATAGGTTTTTGTGCAAGGTAATCCTTTGGCAATTTAGGCTCCTAAAACACAAGAAAAAACAAAATATGTTGACATTATAAAATATTTCCCAATTTTTCATTAATAACCATTCCAATGATACATCAAAAATTCATAGCGGCTACCCAAGACTAAGTTTTGCAAAAGCTTAGATAGGAAAAACCTACAGTTTCTTAAAGTGGAGGCAAATGAGTTGCATCAGCCTAAGTAGACACACATGGGGATGGAAACTTTGTACAAAGTCTCTCTATTTTTTTTTTTTTTTCTGTTAATATTTCAAGACAAACACTTTGATTCCTTTTGAAATTGCACAAACTGAGATTCAGCGATGTTAAGTAACTGATCAAAAACTCATGCAGCTAGTTAGATTGAAAGCTTAGGCCTTGTTAGACTCTAACAAACATAATTCTCTTCATTATACCACTTAGGTTGTTTTGTGTACATAGTGTGGGTGTTTTATTTTTGTGGTAGTGGTTAGGCACACTAACCTTGAGAAAGATAATGTTTTATTTAGAATAGATTCACTGATAACATATAGACATAGCAACTAATGAGATTTGTTCCACTTTCCTGAATTTCTCTAATTGACCTGTTGCTGTTAAGTGCCCTTGACTGGGTTCTGACTCATAGCAACCCTGTATAGGGTTTCCAAGAAGCAGCTGGTAGGTTTAAACAGTTGACTTTGTAGTTCACAGTCCAGTGCTGATCCATAGCACCACGCCTTGCTAATATTAAAATATAAAATAGTGCTTCTTGTATAAATAAAAGAACTGGTTTTATAGAATCTATGTAGATTTCAGAAAGAGCTATAATTAATTATAAACAACACCACCCTTCAGAATAAATCACTTCTAACATGATTGGAGGCATATGATTGCCTTATCTGTATGCAGACGAGGGATATGGATGCCCTACTCATACTCCTCTATGAGACCTTTCTTTCAAAGCTTATTCTGGACAAAGTATTGAAACAATACAATGTAATCCACTTGAAATGAAATGTTTGTTACCAATAGTTAAAAAGAAATAAGAAACCATTTTGTCAAAAATACATAAAAGCTCATTATAAATGTTTTGCAAATTATCAAATTAATACACTGGTCACCACAGATAATTACCCTATATAATTCACACCAAAGACTTCTTTTGATTTGGAAACTCTAAGAAATTTACCAAATGTTTTTCTGTATTTTCTTAGCCTAAATAGGTTATGTACTGAAGTTATGGTTTAGCTATGAGATGAAAGTTTTCTTCATTTAAAAATGCAATGTAGGCTTTAGGCAACATTATCTCTGAATTTTCTTCCAATGATTCTTTATATAGATCTAGTATTTTAAAGGAACATGGAAGTTAATTAAATCCAAATAATTATTTATGAATTGTCAACACATGCCATTCACAGAACTAGGTACTTTGAGGGGAGATTTCTAAGAAAGACTTCATGGACAAAGTGTCTATTGAATATCTCCTTGAGTACAAATAAGGCAGTCATATAACTATAAAGAAAAATGTGTTGGACCATAAGGTTGGTTTGAACTGCAAAGTTGGTGGTTCAAACTCAACAGTTGCTTCTCAGAAACTCTACAAGGTGGCTATGAGTTGGAACAGACTCAACACCATTTAATAACAACAACAATACCTATAGAGGAGTTCTGGTGTGGTGATGTAGGATAATCATTGGATTGCTAACCAGTGGTTTAAATCCACTAGACAGCCCTTGGAAACCTTATACCAAGTTGCTATGAGTCAAAAGTGACTCGAGGGCACTTAGCAACAACAACAGCTCATCTAGGAAAATACTAGGTAGGAATTGCTAGTATTTTCATAGTAAAGTCACTTATTTTGACTTGGCATGGTAGTGTGTGGGCAGGCAAAAATCAAGCTGCAGAGTATAGATGTAAAAATGAAGAATGCCTTAAAATGTTCAAACCAAAGAATGACATAATTTCTGTTATTATTTAAGGAAATTTAAGGGACAGTGAGAGAAAAATGGACCTATTTTCTCTAAAATGTCACAGTAATGACATGATTACTCTGTGTTCCTTGGGAGTGAAGAAAAGTGCTAAATATGAGAAAAGTTGTAATCAAAGAATATTCCCTTCAAATCATTTATATTATATGCACTTTAGTTCTTGCAATTAATACTTCTCCTAGGGTGAACATTGGAGTCCTGGTGTGGCACTGTAGGATAAGCCCTGGACCAAAAGTCGTTTGCATCTCAAGGTCAGCAGTTCAAACTCACCAACTGCTCCTCAGAAACATTATACGGGGTTGTTATGAGTCTGAACCAACTTGACAGCACTTAACAACAACTAACCAACCACAATGTCGACCCTTCAAACCCAGACAGCTGCTCCTCTGAAACCTTACACAAGGTCACTATGTGTCGGAACTGACTCCCCGACACTTAACAACAAAATGGTGAACATTATGAGCATATAAAATTTGTTCATATGATCTTATTTTTAAATGCCTGTTTTGAGTTTACCATGTGTTTATAGAGTACCAATTATTGTTTTAGGGAGGAACTGCTTACCCATGTAAACAGGCATTGTTTTAGTTACAGAACCCAAGTACCTCAGCTGCCGTCATGGGAAAAAATAAAGTTTTCTTTAGTTGAGATATCCTGCCCTTTCCTGCTGAACACATTTATATTCAGATTCATTGGTTAAGACATATATAAACAAGAATATTTCATAATTTTCAAATTATGACCAAATGACTTGGAAGGTCTGTTTAGACAGCAAATGTGAAATATTTGTAAGGAATAAATTGAGACGAAGAAAAACAAATGTTAAAGATGACTTTATAAAATGTAGTGAAAGATCTGAGGAACATAACATGAATAATTTTTATAGTATAATTATACATTTTTTATTTTAATATTCACATGTGAACAGATTGGAAGGAAGTAATATAAAATGTTAATCATAGCTAGTTGAAAAACAATTAAATTTTTCCATTTGTACATTTAAACGTCCTGCTCTTCACTATGATAGCCTTAATTCTTTTCTTCTCAGAATTATTCTTTTTCATGACTGCTTTCATTTCAATCTGATTTAAAAGTCAGAGTTCAAAATGATCTGCTGGTATCTATGTTCTTCAGAGTGTTATTATAGTGGCAGTCAAAAACACAGGGGAAAAAATGACATTTTATTAAGTGATAAAAGGATATATAATATATTTCCCTCTTTTAGACCCGAACAATATCATATTATGGACAAAATTTTGAAATAACAGGATGAAATAATCTTGAAACTGATAGAATAGTTAATATTAAATTAAACAAATACTAAAGAATACACATGGAATCATTTCATTGCAGAGACAGAAGAGTTTATTCTGAGTGCTGTATAAAATGATACAACTAATATAGTCAACCTTCATAAACCACCCTCTATAATTCAAACCAAAGACTTCTGTTTAAGAAACTGATAAATAGTTTATCTGTCCAAATTGTTGTAATAGGGTGGACCATTGCCAAATCATTCAACTCTGCGTTGTGTAAATATGTCCTACTGTCTAAAATATTAGCTTATTGTTTTAGTTTCTTTCATTTCTGCCTCCAGGCATTGTGTAACTTAAACAAATACAGACAGATGCTATCTGACATATGGTTTTTATCAATGTCTAATGGTAGAAATGGCTCAGATGTTCTAGCAATGCATAGTTTCCTTCTAAACATATTCATTAACACATGTAAGTAGATTGGTACAAATAAATTCAAATTGTAAATGAAAGCCAAAACATGTAATTAGTAAACACACTGGGCTATTTAAATGAAACCTTATAATATTTGTTTATTTGCTTTTTCAAATGTTAAACTGCAACCAATTTCGCCAACTCTACATTCTTAAGTGTCAACATCTTACTCAAAATATTAAATATAATTATTTTATACACTTAAGAAGATACTGAAAACGGTATTTTTCTACTCTTTTTTTCTCTCTTTAAATTTGATAATATCCCTTTCTATCCTAGCATGACCACGGAATAAAAAATGTGGTTTGTGGGTCTGAATGTTTTCCATTTCATATTCTCATCATATTACGTTTTAGAGCACTATTTCAGTATCTAATTTTGACAGCGTTATAAACAAAGTTGTTTCCAGAGTATCAAGAAAACCATTATATTCCATATGTGAAGTAGCCATGACATTAACTTTCATTTGGAATAATGAAAGACAAGAGCACCAAGTCAAATTGGAAAAAAAGAAAGAAAAAATTTCAGTTGAATCATCTCTGAATCATGGTGACTCTAAGTACGTCAGAGCAGAATTGTGCTCCATAGGATTTTAAGTGACTGATTTGAAGTTGATCACCAGACATATTTTCAGAGGCTTCTGGGTAGACTTGAACCTCAATCTTTCAATTTGCAGCTGAACACACTAATCATTCCCATTTCCAAGAGACTTCATCAAGTCAGTTGTGTTGGCATGCTAGGTGCCATCTAGCTGTCCATTACTCTTCGAAACCTCACGTACAACAAAATTTGGCCACAATGATGCAAAGGATTTTCATTAGCAGAATTTTCAGAAGTGGAGCTCAAGATCTTTCTAGTATGTCTCTCAGTATCTCTTTGATTCTATCTTTGATCCTATCTTACGCTGTCAACTGAGACCTCTTTAGCATCATCGACACCACTGTTGTTAAGTGTCATTGAGTTGAATGCAACTTATAATGACCTGGTATTGGTTTCTGTGGAGCAGCTGGTGAGGTTGATCTTCCAACCTTGAAGTTCAAACTGACTCAGCAAGCAAATCTCCATTGACAGATAGGTGATGGGTGAGCTTACTAATGCATTGTCAGGGATTCCACCTGCGTCTCCTATATTGAAGACACAAATTCTACCATAAGCTACCACTGCCTCCTTATCAAGTTATTAGATGAGCTTACCATGGAGTTTCTTTTCTCCCTAGGCAGTGTTTCATTCTGTTGCACATAGGGTCACTATGAGTCAGTACAAACTCAATGGCACCTAACAACAACAACCATGGAATTTGGACTTCCAGTGTCGTGTTGTA